AAAAAAAAAAAAAAAAAGAAAAAAAATTGCCCCTCAAAGACGTTCACATCCTAATCCCGGAATTTATGATCATTTTACCATACTCAGCAAAACGGACTTTGCAGATGTGATTAAGTTAAGGATTTTGAGATGGAAAGATTATCCTGGATTATCTGGATGGGCCCAATATAATCACAAAGGTCCTCATAAGGATAAAAGGGAGGCAAGAGAGCCAGAGAAGATGTGATGACACAAGCAGAGGTCAGAGTAGTGTGATTGCTGGCTGGGGACCACAAGTCAAGGAACGATGGCAGCCTCTGAAGCTGGAAAGGCAGGAAACAGTCTCCCCTAGAGCCTCCAGAAGGAGCACAGTTTCTGCAGACACCTTGATTTTAGCCCCATAAGACCCATTTTGGACTTCTGACCTCCATAATGGGAATATAATACATTTGTGTTGTCCTAAGCCACCAAATTTGTTAACAGCAGCAATAGGAATGAATGCATGTTCTTGGGGTGCAAGCAGCAGAAACAGACTCTGGCTACATTAAGCAAGAAAGAAGTTAATTGGGAGGATACAGCTGTACAACTCCCAGCCCCAGGAATGAGAGGAGCCAGAGCTGCTTTGGGTAATCTACAAAAGATTTCAGGAACAAGGGCACAATGCTGAGGGGAATGTTTATTTCTTCCTCCAGCTTTTTTCCATGTGGAGGGATCCCCTTTAGAGTAATACTCTTGTTTCCTGCTGCACCCCCTCATCCATCTATCCTCCCCAGAGGAGGAGGAGGAAGGGTGACTTATCTGATTGGTAAGTTTAGGGAGAAGGAATGGAGCTCAACTCAGCTCTTCCTCCTTCTTTCTCTTTCAGATCCACCTCCCACAAGAACCATGTTTTTTGCTCTCTGCCTCAATGTTCTAAACTTCCCAGGGTCTGGCCCTCACAGGAAAGACTACAATTTTCCAGCACTGCCTAAGACTGGGTGGAGAAGATTAATTTGGGGGTTCAGTATTAGTAAACCCGCTTGTCAATCAGACCGAAAGGGACATCCCCAACAACTTTGTCAGTAATAAAGCTGGTATTCTGATCTCCCTCTGCCCTACTTCTGTAGCTATCTCTCTTTTGGTTCTAAACTTGGGTGAGCCTACCCCCAAACAAACAATTTCTCATGGATGCTATGATTGGAGTGACTCAGCTCAACTGTTTTCTGTATCTGTGCCATTCCATTCAATAGTCAAAGTCCTGGCTTGGCTTGGATCTCATGTTTGCCCCTTGGCAAAGGTGGAGAGTACCTTGACTGACAGTCCCCTCAAGACTTCAAGAAGGGAGAAGTAATTCCCCCAAAGCAAATGATGACAGTTTCCAAAATAAAGAGGGAAGAACTGTTGGACATGACAGCTGTCAAGTCACAGGTAGCTATTGCAAAGGTCCAGGAGAGAGGTAATGAGGAAC